TCTTCAGAATGCGCAAGCGCGCGCGGGGGTACCCATCTGCGATAGCCTTAGAGGGCGGAGCTTACACGAAATAGAACTGCGGTTTGAGCTCTTCTAATGAAACAATATTAAGTCAAACAGATGAACTTTTGTTTGTTCTGTTATGTCCCCTGGCTTGGTCTAGGAGTTTAAAGGGACTAACATAAATCTAGACAATGAAGGAGGAGTCAAAATGGAATTTAAGGTGTTTATTTTCTGCCATGTTTTAAGTTTCTTTTCTATAAAGACTGATTAAATGGCTTCAGGGAGAGCTCAGGCCAAAATAACAAACAAAACAACCCTGAAAGAAAAATAAAATTTAAACTTACCTAACCCCAAKGAAAATAAAATATACAAACCTAAAATAACCTTACCTTACAAGCACAAACAGGAGAAAACTAAGGTTAAACAAAAAGGCWGCTCTCCCCTACAAAATCAGTCAGACCAATTTTRCATTAKTTTGYAAAATACAAAGAACCCTTTAGCTGACACAACAACAAATGGTGAATGGCAGTCAAGTGGCCCATAGGCGCAGACATGCAGCTTCACAGCCATGAAACAGGGCCCAGCTGATTGACTGGCTTGAGACCCAAGGAGCAGCACCCAATCACAGGGGAGACATAGGAGAGGAGGCGGAGCCTAAAAGAAGACAAGGCATTACTTCAGTGCAAAAAACAAACATCCACACTGGGGATGTAACACTTTTATAGCGCCTTTCTATCCAACCAGGATACTCAAAGAGCCTCACACTACAATCTGTGTCCTCATTTACACATTCACACATCACTTTATTAGGTAACATGTACAATCAAGCTATGGAGACTAATCAGTGCCAATTACATTCATACACTGATGGGACACACATCAGAGGTGTATATTTAAAGGAGACATGACATGTCTCCTTTAAATATACACCAAGAAAACAACCCATTTTTTTCATCCATTTTTTTAACCGTTAAATGCATTTTGTTGTGTACTTGGAGTCTCTTCTGGCTCTGGGTCAGACACCAGCTCCAACATGTAAGGCTGGATGGACACGTCTTGCTTTGCAACACATCTCAGAAAAGGGTGAAAGAGGGGCTTGTGGAGTTACAATAAGGAGGAATTCAGACCAAAAAATGGCTGTTCCATTTTTGTATAGACCCCAACTGAATTATTTAAATGTGGGAAAAAAAAAGATTCAAAAACATGACATGTCTCCTTTAAATGTCTGCATATGTGCTTTTCACAGGAGCCACGTATCCACGAGAGCTGCAGGGTCCGATTACTCAGATGTCCGCCTCTCATCAGCTGCAGGCCATGCACGCTCAGTCTGCGGAGCTGCAGAGGATTGCACTGGAGCAGCAGTGGCTTCATGGACATCACCTGCACGGAGGCCCTCTGTCAAATCCGGAAGATTATTACAGGTGAGGACTTTGAATAGATTTCATCACGAGTTTATGTTCTTTTAGTTTAAAAAAGTTCTTCTCCACTCATGTCTGTTTCTGTCTTTTGAAGCCGTCTGAAGAAAGAAGGTGACAAGCCATCTTGAGGTGGTGCATGCCCTGAAATCTCACTCTAATACTGTGTAATTTTGAAGCTGTAAAAGACTATTTTATGTCCCCTTTTTTTCGTTTGTGTTCATATATAATTTAGGGAAATATTTGTGGAACTTAATGTGCATTCCTTGTTCAACACTTCATGAAACTGTCAAAGCTTGCCAGAGGTTTTCCTATCGCTTAAGAATGAACTTTTATTGATCTGATGAACTTCCTCACCGATGGATGTGAGGTTTAAACTCGAGCTTTCTCTAAACTGTTTCATATGCAGTCGTGTAAATTTGCTAAAGGATGCGAAAACAGACCGACTTTGGATTTAACTTTAAAAATTGCTATTATTTCTTATAGAGTTCTTGTACAGAACATTAAATCTGTGTGTGGATGATAGTAGCATGACTCACCCTTTTACAAATAATTAGAGTAGCAAGTTGCATTGTGTTGTTAGGCTTTGAAAGSATAGTAAAGGTCGGATTTACTCCTAAATCTGATATTTGTTTAAATCCTAAAATTTTATATATCAAGATATCTTTACACAATATATCCGAAGCTTTTATTTGCTCCCTTTTAAGACTGTAAATATTTCATGTTGGCAGTATACTATATGATTACTGTTGATATATTACTAGATGTAAACATTTGACCTATGATTCAGCATGAGAACTATAAAATCTTCAGCTAAAAACAGCATATAGTATTATAAGTTGTGATAAATAATTGAACCATGGCGTGTTTGTCTGTCTGCTAACAGAAAGTTTTATTATTAGAGAAATGTATTTACAGTGTTTTSAATAAAACAAGCTAATTGGATAGAAACTAAATCTTCCTTTTAAAGGGATATTGCCCAAATTCAGTATTTATGTGATATAATATCAACCTGTATCSATGCCATATTTATTTCAATAAATATTTCTGCAATAACACCTTTAATCTGGTCACTTCCTAAAGATAAGATTATGGAGTTTAATAAAATCTAATTTAAAAAAATCTAAATTGGAGAAAGGGTTTGTTGTGGTCATGGCTTCTTAAAATGCAGAGCACYTTTTATGAGTTCAGGTGTTTATTATTAACAAAAGCTAGTGTTGTAGTCAAGACCACCTAACCCGAGRCCAAGTCAAGACCAAGACCACAGTGTATCAAGACCGAGACAAGACCAAGACATTTAGGGCCTGGACCAAGTCAAGACCAGGAAAAAAAACCCTAAGAAAACCAGTTCTGTTTAAGATGGAGTATTCTGTACACACATGTAGCTTAATATGTAGAGCTAACATTGACAAAATCTGCGAGGGCCGAGAAAATAATTTTTCCACAGAGGCAGATYGCTAACATTTGCTAACCTTAGCTAATRTTTGCTTTCTTCTGGATATTATTTTACAAACATATTCTTTATGATTTTAGTAGCCGAACTGTATTATTGAAGATTTTGCAGACATCTTCTCCCGCTCCCAGAGAACTACTGCTCACTTGTTTTTGGAGTGCCGTGTGCGAGTGAACAGGGGTGGGGATGGGTGACATGGCTAACAAAAATACATGAGTCAGGTTTGGATTTGAATCAGTATGTTTTACATCGAATGAAACGAGAATGTCAACAAATAAATTCAACAACATTCTGGCTATTTAGTAATATTTCCACAGTTGTGGTTTTGACTGGTCTTTAAATAAAATCCCGAGTCCTCAATGTCCGAGACCGAGACAAAACAGAGTACAAATGTGGTCGAGTCCAAGACAAGAACAAGACCATCAAAAAGTGGTCTTGAGACTGGTCTTAAGACCAAGACTGATCTCAAGTACTAGAACACTAACAAAAGCAACAGGACTTTTATTTTGGGGGACACTACACTTATCAAACTGTAAAGTGCGATGCACGAACTTTGAAAGTGCACTGAGTTGTTTTTATTTTGTGAGCTGTCGAACCCTCCCCTCCCTAATGAGGGTTGTTGAGGCATCACCTGCACTGAGCCCATTTCAAGTGAGAATATCCCCACAAAAATAAAAAGACAAAACCCCTCCTAACCTATAGATATTCACGCTGAGCCTTTCGTCATTAATTAAACAATTTTGGGGAGAAAAAAAATTTCACAGCATCAAATGAACAAATAGATAACTAGCACACAGACTTTGTCATTCCATTCGTGGCAGGAGTGTCTGAAATATTTTTCTTCCAGCACAACACCTTCAGACCAAAAACTGGTTCATCCAAATGCTAAAAATCCCCAAACGTAATCAGTGAGGTGTTTGGTGCAGTGACGAGAGAACTGGAGCTTTAAACAGGTGTAAACAAACCACACAGCTCTTCCTGTCAACACTCAGCTGTCCACCTACACGTCCAGAATAAGGGACATTAATAACACATATTTTGGACAGATTGATGGTTTGAGAGAGGAGTTTAAAAAAAAGACGAGCAAGTTTTTGTCATGAGAAAACGCATCATTAAATGAAGGTGTCAGGTTTCCATCACGTGTAGTAACTTTCACACCAGTTCTCACCTCCATGTGTGTAACCAAAACTCTGACTCTTTGAAGGGAGTGAAGTTTTAAATCTCACTAAAATAAACAGCTCGACACAGTTTAAGCTTTGAATTTGGCAGGTTTCGATTTAGACAGCTGCTTGTGAAGGGAATAAAAAAAAGAAAAATGTCTTGAAAATTTAAGAAACAATCCAGTTGCCTTTGTTTGTTTACCAGCGTGGGCTCAGATTTAATTAGATGAATTACTCAAAAGCTCTTTCATCAGCAGATGTGCCTGCTCCTGTTCCTGTTTTTGTCTCTTTTGTCTGGTAAAAGAAGCTTATGGAAGCTGTTACTGTGAACCCACATGAATTTAACTAAGAACCAACTTATGTCAAAGAAGTTGTTGTTAGGCTGCAGAAACAGATGGCAGATGGCCTTGAACAGATCAACAGTTCAGTTGATTAAAAAAACATTGTGCCGGTCATGGAGTTCACCACTATAAATATGCCTGGACTTCCATGGAATACACTAATGGCTCTAATTAAGAGGAAAAAATGATTTTGAAGCATGCCGTCCAAAGGTAAAACACTCTTCAGGAGGCTGACACATATCTTAAATTCACCATGAAGCCTGCATTCATTTTAATTTAAAATGTTTTAATGAAAGTTTTAAATGCCTCAAAAAATGGAGAACATATTGGACATATGTATGTGGATCGCTGCACTCAAGAATTCAAACAGAAGTCATGTTTACAGGTTTATTGCAGTAAATCAGAGAGGACACAATCATTTGGAAATTTAAAGAGATTTTCTGTGCAAAGGCAACAGAAGAGGAGACGGTACAACCAGGAATGGCTGGTATAAGTGGGTTAGAAGGGTTAAGCCATTAAGCCTTCCCTGTTATTTACAATAAAATATTARCATACCTAATAAACACAAATTAAAAATATTGTATCACGGTGTGTGAAATTTACAACAAAACTGGTGCCAAACAGTCTGGAGAAAGTGCCAGTCTTTCCAAAGGGCTAACTTTTCACAACTGCCTTCACTTGATGATTTTCTTGGTACAGAATGATTGACAGACGTCTTGCCACGCCCCTCAGTTTGCTGCTCAGTGGGGCTAATTTTGTTCAGTCCAAGGTTATTTTTGCATAAAGATGATCCTGAGCTAATATTTTCCTTACAATAAATTCAAACAAAAACTTTGAATGTACACTATTTTATACAAACACTTCCAGCACAAGGACTATGACTCTCAGTTAAATACAAGACAGTAATAAGAATACCATATTGTTATTATAACTTTTATCATCACATCTTTCCTTGTTGCACTTATCGCATTTCAGAGACCTTTGTTATACAGCCTTACATAAAACAGACTTGATATGATTGCAGCTTTATAAAGCCATATTTCAACCTCAACATAGTATACAATATAAAAAAACAGCAATTGTGTTTTTACATTATGGTCCATTTACCAATATGTTTAATGAGAAAAGTTTTTAAAAATAGTAAATCCAAGCTACAAAAGACAAACCTGATGGTAGAAGTTGTAACGATTATACTATACTATTTCTACCTTTTTTAACTTTATTCGAATTGGGAACTTAAATCTTGAGCACCTGTTTATATTTAATCTTATTTACTGTAATCTTAAACTAATACAAATTTCACGGTTCAACAAGTATTTAACAAATGTTAATCCTATGGGATGCAACTGGATGGTTCCCACACATACTTCAGCATAACTAGTCCAGCCTCAAAAACGATTGTCAAACTAATGGTAGATATTTAGCCAAACATAAATCATATGTCTTTGTATGGACCCAGGTGAAAATAATTGGAATTTTCTTCTCTGCTCGTGTCAGATCTCATCTTGTCTAGGACTCCCCCTCTTCATGTACTTACGCAGGTACTGGATGGCTGATAGGGCGCTCACATTGGCTAGTAGGGCTGAACAGATTGGAATAAATCATACTTTGTATTAGCTATAAAGTCACCACATTGTTTTTTTAATGCTAAAAACTACTTAAACGTTCCTGAAACTTCAAACTCATGGGTTATGGGTAAAAAACTCAGTAAAAAAATATTGTAGCATATTTCTGTAGCACCTGCTTCTACTGTCATCTTGTATTTATCAGGTTTTTAATCAAATTGTCTGAAATGTTGGCCATGTTTCATACTTGCTTTCCAGGCATCTGCAGCCTCTGGATCAGAGGATCTGAGCACCCAGGAGGCAAAAGCGATGCAGACTAAGCACATGTCTGACTGCTTCACTGTGGAGAACATGCCATGTCTCTCTGTAAAACACAGTAACATTAAGAGAGTGGTATTGTGTATTTTCCATGCACATAGTTCAGTTCTATACCACAATCAAGTAATGAGTAATGGCTACCACAGGAGATTCAAGGATTTCTCAAAAATATTTTACATTTAAAACTGAATAAGAAAGCTTTGATTAAGAAATAGAAAAGGCCATAAAATGTACTGTACATCAAAAACTAGTTTGCAATCGTGTTTAAACTTTAATCATTTACATGCAAACATTGATAAATTTATTGTTTACCAAAAAAAAAAATACTCTAAAGACGTTATGCTTAGTTTGAATTTAGCAGCAATAAGTTTCAAAATAGGGTTGTCCATTGCTGTTTAAAGGTATCCATGATTAGTTGTAAAATTAGCCTTTATCTGATAAACATTTATTTTAACTGTCAAACAAAGACTAAAAATACTGTAGGCTGTTTAGTTTTTATAATTTTTAAACTAAAAGTTTAAAAATAAATTACACAGACGGGGCCATTTTATTTACAYGCAAAGCATTCTGGGTAAATGATGATGTGGATAGGTCCTCGGTGTGAGGCAGCTAGCGAGCTATATCCACCCTGAAGGTTAATCTTGGACAATATCTGATGATTGACTCTTAAATGAAACCAGAGAGCGTTGACAGAGAGGAGAAGGTAGAAATGACTCAGCCTGGAACTGAAAATATGGATGGAGGACAACAGAGCTGCTTCATGGAAGAAGAACCTCAGCTTAGCCTGTTAGCTTTAGCTTTAGCCCCGACACTATCATCATATATGTGTATTAGCTCAGAGCTACACATTCTCCTCTCATCACTGAGGTCCTCCATCCACATGACAGAGAGGGGAACAAAAAAATGACTCAGTCTGCAATTAAAAACATGGATGGAGGACCTCAGTTTAGCTTGTTTGTTGCTCTAGCGCCGAGTTAATACATATAAGGCAATATAGCGTCAGCACTAGTGCAAAGACTAACATTTACCCAGAATGGTTTGCGTGTAAGTAAAATGGCTTTGTCCGTGTTAAAATATATTTATTTTACAGTTAAATGTTTATCAAATAAAGTCAAATGTTACAACTAATCGTTGATCCCTTTAAGAACTTGCACTTACTACTCCAGATAGTTTCCTGTTGCTCTTCCAGCTCTCTGAAGACCTGAGAAGAATCTGGGCTGAGCTTTCCCTCGCTCAGCGCTCTCACTGTAGGATTCCATCTTCTGACGTGAATCTCTTCGCTTTCAGCTGGAAACATCCAGGCGCCGGACCCTCTGCAGCAGAAGCTGCCTTTGACAGGGAAGTAGATTTTCCTTACTGATGCCAAACTTTTCCAACAGTGAGATCCACTCACAGCTGCTGCTGCTGAGGATGCAGGCAGATCAGCCCAGATAAAGGATCGAGACACAAGTCTAAACGGAGACATTTCGCCCTCTCTCTCACAGTTGGCTGTCAGAAACACACGGTGCTGTTTAGGGAATGTGAGATCTCTGATAGTAGGATAAGAGCAAGAGAAAATAGGGATGGGTTGCTCCAGGCTGGTTTGGGGAGAAAAGGATGGTGTGTCTTTAAATTCACAGAGTGTGGAGTTAAAGTCCGGAGCCGCAAACATTTCTGGATTGTAAACAATGAAGCTCCCTGACTCGGTGTTGGCTTCAGACTCTGTGGAAAAGTATTCAACGATCTCAGGGAAAGATACCTGATCCTGTGCATCCAGTAAGTCTGTGTGGGATAAAAAAGATGTGGGGTTGACGGCTACAAGGCTGCAGTTTGGTTTCAAACCTGTGTCTTCCTCCAGACACAGATGCCTGCTGAGTGACAGTCCACTCATGTAATGATTGAGTAAAGGCAGCAAAGACAAATCCTCTGTTTTGAAAGTCTGCACATTGTACTTTTGTCTTGGCCACAAGGTCAAAGTCTGAGTCTCCTGATTGTCTAAATGATGTTCTACAATGTATTCTAAAGGGACCGGTGTCTCCTTCCCTTCTGAGTCATCCTCACATAATAAGTAAGAGGAAGGACTTTGCTTGTTTTTGCGATGAGGACTGGTACTTGGGTTCCTGCTGGCATCAACAACATGTGAGCATTCTTCCTCAAAATCTGAGGTCAGAAGCTGTCCGCAGCAGTCTGATTTAAATTCATCAGGCTGTGTGAAGTAGTCTGAGTCTGCAGTGTCAGACACATTCATCAGGCTGCTGTCAGACTGATTACAGTCAAAGAAGCGATTTGCTGTATTTGGCATTGGTTTTTCTTGTACTGACTTGGAAGGCAAGCAGCTTTTCTTCCTGACATGCAAAATGTCATCTATTGTCAGTTTTTCCATTTCATCCCAGAAAGGAGAAATGGCATAAACAGGTTTGGTTTTTCCCACAGTTTTGGCATATGTTTTGAGGCTGTCGGCCACGGAGCAAGCAGGGATGTGACTATGCTCATCTTCCGGCGAGCGAGCAGATGCTGAGCCCCTGTTTGTAACCGTTAGGGGCTCAGGTGTTTCTGGGCGTGTGGAGCTGTCGTCTGGCATGACTGCAGCTTTTTGGCACGATGGAGACGTGACGGACGGCTCAGCAGTGGCGACTTTGTAACGTTCACAGCTTGCGGCCGTCTCAGACTGAGGAGACATCTGTGCGCCGTGGGCTCGGTCCGTTCCAGTGTTCTCGGTCATATCGTCACAGGCCAGGGATGACGAGCACTGGAATTGGATGTTTTCAGTGAGGCGGTCTTGAAGAGGATGCTGAGCTTCCTGCACTGCTTCAGCAGCATCATCTTCAAGCACTTGATTGAGAGATTTAACCGAGTTAGCCTTCATTCCATCACTTGGGTATTTTTCTAAACCTATACTTTGATTTGATTGTGTTTCTCTTCTTTGCTCAGATTCTTGCGTACCATTAGGTTTCCCGCCGTCCGAGCTCTCCAGCCTCCCGACGACGCCAGTGAGTCCTCCCTTACGGGCTTTTTTTTGTTTGCGTTTTTTTTTCACAGAGGTAGGACGCCCTCGCCGCCGCGCCGGACTCTCATTCACGGTCACGAACCAGCGCTCCTTCTCTGCACTCAGCCCTGCTCGGTCAGGCTTCTCGGTGGATCTGAGGTCGCTCGCCGTTTGCACACCTACATCTTCTGTCAGTATTTCTGTCTCCTCTGAGCTGTGATCAGTTTTTGATTCTTTTTGCAACGAGTTTACATCATTGTCAATCGCCTCCTCGACTGTTTCTCGCTCAGTCTTTTCGTGCACCACCTCCTTGACGTTTTTTCCAGGACAGCCGCCGCATATTCCCCCTAGTTTAGGGCCTGTGGCAGCATCAACCTCTGATCCTTGGGTACCACTTTGATTTAGCTGCTCTGATAGTTTGATACAGCTGTTTGCATCAGGGCTCCTCTTAGTCTCTTGTTGGTCAGGATCGGCTGAATCGCTGAGTTCGGAGTCATCGAGGCAGGCAAGGGAAGGCTGCAGCAGATCACATTCCTCACTCTCATCGTAGAAGCTGCTCCAGTCGTTCTCGGCAATGTGAATGCTGTGATCAAAATCATCCATTGGGATGCTTCACATATGCTTTAATCTAAAAAACGAAGGCACCAAGTTAGATAGAGGCAGGTTTTCTTGGATGAATTTGCAAACTCTATATATAAAAGCCCTCAGGCTGCAAGGCAATCTTGCGACCTTCTCTTCTGACCACTGCACCACCGTGCCACCTGTGTTAAACACATTCAAGCTAATTTTAGACCCGTGACTGAAGCCTGTCAGGGTTGTTATCACCTACTGTCTGGAAACAGTTGTGCAGGGAACAAAACTTTTTAACAGATTGAGGTTTGACAGACTTCAGAGCCCCACAGTCACACGCAAGACCCTAAAATATCCCCCCCACCATGGCCCTGCTCTTAGAAAACAAGCTACACGATCTGTTCTGGAGAAACCAGGCGTCACGTGTCAGAGACTAGCATATCAGATTAACAAACACACACATTAAGTTTAAAAAATAAAATACAGAAACCACGTTGAAGCAACACTTATTGATACAAAACTTTTTTACAGCAACAAAATGTATTTATAAAATAACTTTTTACTGTTATCACCTTTTCTACAGAACAATTTTAGCTGCAAACTAGCAAAAGTTTTGTAGCTAAATTGCAACTCTTTAGTACCATTTTATATCATCTAGTCTTATTCAATGTTTATTTTGTTTAGCTAATTTTATTTATGTTTTTAATTTAATGTCTTAAGTTACAGGAAGATATAGTCTCTGCAACATATTACAGTAAAACCAGAAATCAAACTGCACTTTGGTCTTTATTAAACTCTTTAAAAATCATTAATTGATGCTTCACATTCTTGAATTTGTGTTCCAAAAGGAAAAGGAAAAAAAAGGGGGTAAAAGCCTACCTGCTGCAGAGAATTTTAAAATCCTCATTCTGTTTTCCTAAAGGACATTTCCCCTCTGCTGTCCATCTGTCCTTGTGTCTGTCACACTGGGTCCTGGCACTCAGAGGTTATTAATAGAGCTGTCCTTCCCGTCACATGGAGTTTCCCTCCTTCACCACAGGTACAGCAACCATTAGTTTGGTCCTTGCCTTCCTACACAGTTCTGCTCAGTTCTAATTTCACTTTTTCCCCTCAYATTTTTTAAACAGAATTTATGTTTTCAACCTACTTATTAATACACCTGACAAACCCACACACTGACGTTTTATTAGAAATTTCATACTGGTTGAATATCATTACAATAAAAGCATTCTACACATAAAGGAATCTTTTTAGTAAACTAACATGAAATATTGTTTGTATGATACTTTTTTTCCTGACATGAAGCAGCTCACCTTAAAGACTTTCAGGACCTTTAAAGAAGAGGGAGGGGTGGGTGTTATGTATTTTTCAGGCACAGCTATACCACAATCAAGTATGTTGTTATGAAAATGCTGTAAATAATTCAAAAATTAATTTGCCTTTGTATCATAGTCTATCTCAATGCCTTAAAATTGACCTCTGTCTCTTCAAGAAACTCCTATTGTTTCAGACACACCCCCGTCCACCCAAGCAACATATGCTGAACCCTAATCCAATACATATTAAGAGTAACGTACACTCACCGGCCACTTTATTAGGTACACCATGCTAGTAACGGGTTGGACCCCCTTTTGCCTTCAGAACTGCCTCAGTTCTTCGTGGCATAGATTCAACAAGGTGCTGGAAGCATTCCTCAGAGATTTTGGTCCATATTGACWTGATRGCATCACACAGTTGCYGMAGATTTGTCGGCTGCACATCCATGATGCGAATCTCCCGTTCCACCACATCCCAAAGATGCTCTATTGGATTGAGATCTGGTGAATGTGGAGGCCATTTGAGTACAGTGAACTCATTGTCATGTTCAAGAAACCAGTCTGAGATGATTCCAGCTTTATGACATGACGCATTATCCTGCTGAAAGTAGCCATCAGATGTTGGGTACATTGTGGTCATAAAGGGATGGACATGGTCAGCAACAATACTCAGGTAGGCTGTGGCGTTGCAACGATGCTCAGTTGGTACCAAGGGGCCCAAAGAGTGCCAAGAAAAGATTCCCCACACCATGACACCACCACCACCAGCCTGAACCGTTGATACAAGGCAGGATGGATCCATGCTTTCATGTTGTTGACRCCAAATTCTGACCCTACCATCCGAATGTCGCAGCAGAAATCGAGACTCATCAGACCAGGCAACGTTTTTCCAATCTTCTCTTGTCCAATTTCGATGAGCTTGTGCAAATTGTAGCCTCAGTTTCCTGTTCTTAGCTGAAAGGAGTGGCACCCGGTGTAGTCTTCTGCTGCTGAAGCCCATCTGCCTCAAAGTTCGACGTACTGTGCGTTCAGAGATGCTCTTCTGCCTACCTCGGTTGTAACGGGTGGTTATTTGAGTCACTGTTGCCTTTCTATCAGCTCGAACCAGTCTGCCCATTCTCCTCTGACCTCTGGCATCAACAAGGCATTTCCGCCCACAGGACTGCCGCTCACTGGATGTTTTTTCTTTTTCGGACCATTCTCTGTAAACCCTAGAGATGGTTGTGCGTGAAAATCCCAGTAGATCAACAGTTTCTGAAATACTCAGACCAGCCCTTCTGGCACCAACAACCATGCCACGTTCAAAGGCACTCAAATCACCTTTCTTCCCCATACTGATGCTCGGTTTGAACTGCAGGAGATTGTCTTGACCATGTCTACATGCCTAAATGCACTGAGTTGCCGCCATGTGATTGGCTGATTAGAAATTAAGTGTTAACGAGCAGTTGGACAGGTGTACCTAATAAAGTGGCCGGTGAGTGTATACTGTATATAAAAAGTACTTTTTTGGTTTAAATAGGAAGTTGTTTTCTTTAAGAGAAATAACTTTTTTTGGTCTTAAAATGACTACCAACTTGAACAAAGGGATGAATAGTAGAAACATTTTAGTTTTTTCAAATATACATTAAAAACACAATAAATAAAGCAAACTGATCACTATTTTCATATAATGTCACATTAGTAAAGTAAAACTTTATATAGCTCATTTCAAGATTGGGATCACAAAGTGCTTCAACAAACACAAAGAAAAAAATAAATAAAAATAGACAGAGCAAATTTAAACAAATGCAGATTTAAAAAGGTAAGTTTTTAACTGAGCTTTAAAGGAGTCTGCTGATTTTAATTCAGAGGAAGAGATTTACAGAGCCTCGGAGCCACAGACGAAAAAGCTCCGTCTCCTTTAGTCTTTAATTTTGTCCGAGGAAAAATCAGCATGTCTTTATCACAAGAGCTCAGAGGCCTGACAGGAGTGTAAAAATGTAAAAGGTCAGAAATGTAGTGTGGTGTCTGACCATGCAGAGCTCGCCAAGTCAAAACCAAACTCTTGAATTTCGCTCGATAATGAACTGGGAGTCACATGACAAAACTTAGATCTAGTCAGGAGCCTGGCAGTCGCATTCTGCAGACTGTAACTGTAATATTGTTTATAAAAAAAGGTACTGCAATGAAATAGCTAGTTTTTTTTAAACTATGCAGGTAAAGAATTAATTAGCATTAACTTCATTAAAAGGTGGCAATGATGGATTAAAAAAACAAAAGGTAAAGAAGACACTAAAAAAAAGCATTTTTGTGAATAATACACCATTATAATACAGTACACCAGTAAACAGAAATTGTGGAAAGGTGCTTTATTTCTGTAAATATTACCAACCTTCTGAGCTACCTTCATGGCAATAAAACAGAAATATTTTACATCATTACAAAAACACTATAATTTATATAAAATATGTACATTCAGCTCATCTGCACATCAGTAAACACAAAACAAACAAAAATAAGTCACAAAACAAAAACATGGAATGATTGCTGATGCTCACACCAGAAAACCGAAAAAAAAAAAAAACTGAAATAAAAATGTGTTGAAAATGAAAATTTGTAAGCTTAGTGGGGTCAAAAATGAAAAAAAAAAAAAACAAAAAAAACAACAACAAACAAAAACAAGCAAACGAAACTAGCAAAAGGACTGCAAATAGAGTAAAGGCCACAAAATATTACTCACATAACTGTTTAGCAAAGATACAGCGTCATTAAAATACTTTCAGCTGCACATAAAGCTTAGAATGGCACAGTCATCAAGATACATAAAGAGCTGATTTCTTCAGACGTTTGGCAAAGTATTAGTCAAATATAACTGTTTTGACTATTTCTTAAAAAAATTTTCATTAGCTGGAGGCCTCAGATTAATAAAGTGCACATAGATTCTCTAAGTCTTCATAAAAACAAAATGTTATGAGTTTAGAGCAAACGGAGTTGGTTTAAAAAGATGACAAAGTGACAACATTCCTTATAAGTAGTACTTTCTAAAGTCTTTCATGACTGGAGTGAGTCTACCTGTTGAAGCATACATCTGGTTTGTTGGATGTGTTTGATACATTCACCTCGGTTGGTTACAAAAATAATAAATACAGTGGCAGGAATAAAATCAAGCACATATTAATCCATTCAGTGTTTGCAGTAACTCATCAGTACGTTCAGGTCCAGCAGAAGATACATTACTTATTCTGATGGCCCTATTTGAAGCAGTAAAACTCAGTGCACAGTTACAAACAGGAAATACATGGTAAACATTTATCTTAGAGTCGACATGATGCTTGGCTGTCAGTTTGTTCCACAAAAATCACTGCTTCTGAACCCGCCTTTGCTTTGGAGGAAATTAAAGGTCTTTAATGTGCAAAATCATTGAGTTTTTCTTTATTTTATACTCAACACTCAGGTGTAGCAGCTGTTCACGAGTATGAAAACGTTTGCTAATTTCCAAGCAGTAGATTCTGAACTATATGAAGCATTTGAACACAAAACTAAACTGATCCATTAAAAGTTACACAGAAACTTTAAACTGACATGTCTTATTCCACATGCCCGTTTTTTGGCACATTTATTGCAGTGGTCTTAAATTAAGACCTCTGGAACTAGTTWGGTGAAAAAATAAAAAGGGGGTAACTGTACTCACTAAAAGCTAAGTAATCCTGAGAAACTCGTTTATCGTCCCAAAAGAGGAAACTAAACTTTTCCAGTGAACTTGGAGCGCAAAAAAGGCTGATGGACATTTTTTTATGGCAAATTCTTAATGTTCTTGTTAAAAGACCAACAGCTTTGGCCCCGATGAGATGAAGGCAGAAGCAACAGCTACATCTAAATTTGGCTAAAGTTTCCAGGTTCAGCTGGTCCTCCTTCCTGAGCTTTCCCTCCTACCTGCAGAAAACCTTTCACTCCTCTTCCTACACATTGTACACCTGAGTTGTGGCTGATGTGGGGATTGTGGCACTGTTCAGTGTTGATGTTGCAGAGGGCCGCTCCCTTCTGACGTACCTCTGCTTCCTCCCTGCAGTGGACAAAAAACAAAAAAACAAATACAAAATCAAATGAAATGTGAGTGAAACAAGCAGAGACATGCACTGGAATCACTGTCAACAAACGTGCAAACAGACATTTTTAAGTAAAGGCTTTTAAAGGGAAATTCCTATTTTTTTTGAACAACTATGTTGTGTTACAAAGAGAAAGGTCTTTTCTTTGCATCTATGAGGGACAGTAATCCATTATCTGTCACATTTTAGAACCCTCAGTCCTGTTTAACTTTAGGCAGGGATTTTAATATTTACATTAATAAAGTGCAAATGAGTGAGAGAGTGAATGCTTGTTTGTCTCGTTTGTCTCTATGTGTGGCCCTGTGATGGACTTGCCACCTGTCCAGGGTGTACCCCGCCCCTCGCACCGTGACTGCTAGATATGGGCACCAGTGACCCACGCGACCCTGAAAGGAATAAGCGTGTACAGAAAATGGATGGATGGATGAAAGTGCAAATGTTCTATGCAAATAAATAACATTAAAGCAGGGGGAAACTACAAAACCCAGTTTAACACAAATGCTAGAAAATGAGTGGAATATTTGTAGTTCTGTCTAGTGTTTTTATCAGTAAACAAAACTTTTGTTTTATTTTGTAAACAAAGTGATTTTGACGCTTAATATATATATA